CTGCAATAATACATTTAAATGTATTATAATAATAATCAATAATGTGCACAGACAAGTTTGCATGCCAGAGGGGATTTAGGGTTTAATGGCTTACATGCATAACTTGGCTGATAAGTGATCTTTTCATATTATCTCATAATTACATCCACATATTGTTCAGTGGCATCACAATGAGCTGGGTGCTTTATCTAGTGTCTACATATTATCTCATCACTACAATGTCACATTGTTAGAATGGGTCGTATACGTGTGTCCTTTGTGTAACAGGAGAGTAAAGCAAAACCAAAAATAGGTCTCTCACATCCAATTCAGTTTCACAGGACTGCTTAAAAATGAGCCCAATACGTGGGTGATCAAATCAAGTGGAGATAATGGGACGTCAATCTGAAGCAGCTCCTCCGTGCCTATTTTTATCTGCACGTTCCCATTTTTTGCCCACATGTGGCGACGCGCCCCAACGACCCCCATGTAATACTTCCACTATATCAAAGGCAATTAAAAGGTGTAGCAACAGCAAAACCTTAAAAGGCTTTATCAGGGCCGTCTTATCCACCAGACATCTCCCGGGGAGGATGGCCGTTGCCAGGGTAACCCTCACAAATGGCAACTGACGTCAAGAAGGTAGGAGAAATACCAGGGAGAGCCAGAGCTGCTATGCATAATGGATTATTGAAAAAAGGGCCCTCTTGAAGAGTGCAAAGTGACTTAAAATATGCGTGCCTCGCTGGGCTCGCCACCACTTCTCTCTCTCTCTCTCTCTCTCTCTCTATCTCTCTCTCTCTGCGTGATGAGATGTTGACAGTTTCAGGGTTTTACTTGTTGACTGGCTCAGCTTGGGTTTGACTGGTCCAACTGAAATGATCCATCCTGAGTCAAACAATACTAAATAACTATCTCTTTAAAGGACACATTATGTATTTTTTTTCTCACCATACTGGATCATTTTAAAGCCATTTATAAATATAGGTACTCTTGTATTGATGTGAATACATTGCAGATGTTCTGCTGTGAAGTCTCTGAAAAGCAAAACCTTCCTCTACAGTCCTTAAATCAGAACGCATGGCTACCTGCACCACATCCCACCCAACCTGATCTAAAGTCAGAGAGCTAGCACATCAGCTGTTACCATCCCCAGCAGATCCTGTGTTAGTCACGTAACAAGGACCCACAATGACACTCACATGTAGCTTCTCAGAAAAGATCACTTCAGATTATGTGCAAGTTCACAGCCCAACTACCAGCGGTTTACTCTGTCCCTGTGTCAGCTTCTTGTCTAATCTCAGTGCTGCTGTTGGCCCATGAGAGACTGTCACAGCGGCAGCTCAGTGAAGAGCTCTCATCGTCTCTGTGATAATGCCTCTCATGTTGTGTTGGAGTCGCACTATCGGGACACCGATTGTGGAGTCAGGTTTGGTGATGGCAAAGGCCCAGCGTTGTTGCTATCCAAATGTATACAGCAAGACAGAAGCACGCAAGGGCGTCGCTTTTGTTTAAACACTGTGGGGGTGGATGTTCCCTGCTCCCCCACCTCTACAAAATTTATGCCCATGAATTGACATGGTGTCCGGTTTAGGGTAGAGATGGGGCATACAGATGAAACTACAGTCATAATATCACAGAAATACTTTATATCAATATTCTAGCACGTGTTCATATCATGTGATTAAAAACCTCACATTCCTGTGAAAGAATAGTGTAAAATCATAGGATGTTTTGAGTGAGCAGAGAGATAAATAAATACTTATTTGTTACTGACATGTGCGTTAAGATTAAATTAACATGCAGATATATAGTATGTTAAAAGGTGAATGCAATATCTAATACCCACAAAGCGATCCTGTGACTGTAAGGCCACATATTCTAAAGATGCAACATCATAAATGTTTCCCATCAATCTGTATTATTATTAACCCCATTACATGTGTAAACTGTACACTAATTAACACCACAATGAGTAGGCCTGAAGCGTATAGCTCTTTGTTTCAGGGAGAAGCTGCAGAGGAAATGTGCAAAGAGAAGAAGTGAAAGCGTTTCAGTCCAGGGGAATCCCAGACACTTCTGTAAATCAGGGGTGCAACAAGCAGCATAAAGCATGAACTAACATGCTCTGAGTTTCCAAAGAAGTGAATCACACAAGTCGTGTATGGGAAAAAGAATTAAAGGAAGTGAGGAACAACCCTGATGTGCTAATGCCACACTATTCGAATGCCTCCTGTTCTAGCTGCAACACTAAGATGCCAGATGATCATTAATTTATAACCACGAGCCCACCATTACTTTGCCTTGACATTTTGGTGCACCATGGGTTCAGAACACGAGATCAGGTAGTACCTCCTGGTTGCCTCGATGCCAGTGCTACGGATCAGTTTGACGAGCTCACAATCAAAGTGCCACAGACACCAATGTTTCCTCTGTTTCTGTAGTTCTGCAACAGCGGCTTAACTGTTGGGGCTCCACACCCATCTCTGTTTTAACTGAAATGATGCTCCTAATGCAGATTTCTTATTTTTGATCCCAACTGTGCTTCTTTGAGCTTTACATTGACATTTCACCATGAACCTATAATCATTTTAATCTCAGTTTTACCCTGGAAGTTATTTTTGCTGTGGCAGTCTATCACAAATGAATGAATCCAGAGGAAACACACAATGAGGACACTCATGTACACAAAAAAAAATCTAGATTTAGTCAAATAATGAAAGCTCTTCTACCTTTTTCCAGCACAGATGAGTAGCAGAGGAGGTGGGCGTTTTCTGCATACGTCCTAAATAGCATGGATTGTGAGTCGCACAGAGCGCTGTCGTTTCAGTTCTTCCTTTCAGCTGTGAGTGTAGATGCTGCTAGGAGGAGCAGTAAATGCAGAGAGTGAGAGACAGAGCTGGAGTATGAGGTAGAGAGCTGCTGAGTGGGAGGGTGAGCATATGGGGGGCATGGAGGATGGGAGATGGAGTAGTATTTCTGTTAAAGGGACAGAGTTTATTTCTCCCATACTGTAGTTAATGATATTACAGGATAAGTTGCTGAATTCCTCTGTTATTTATGACAAACATGTTGCAATACTGAGCTCCAGGGTGGGTTTATGGTGAGGCAATTACTCCCACATGTCATGTTGATGTTATTAAAAACATAGTTACAGTACAACAGGAGGACACTGCTCTGTGTGTGGGTATTGTTTGTTGGCTGTCATACTTTGTTAGCATTATTAGTAACACCCATGCTTTTCCTACTATGACAAATCAAAATGTCTGCTATGAAGAAGGCCTTTGGGGAATAATGAGGGTTCCCACACATTTTCCTGGACAAAATTTCAGAACTTTTCCATGATTTTCCACTGTCATAACATTATTTTTCTCTTATTCAGACACACCAGATTCACAAATAGTTCGAGCTCTAGCTGGCAATACACAGAGGGAGAAAATGAGAAAACATGGGCTACTTAATGGTCAATATAACGGCACATATTAGAGCTGCTATATGTCAACAGCTAGCCTACAGAAAATATATTTGCCATTATATTACACTTTAAAGGGTTTGTCTAATTCCCTGACTTCCCCAGGCCAAGATTGTGTAATTCCATGACTTTCCCAGGTTTTCCATGAGAGTGGGAACCATGTGTAACACTACATTTACATCAGAAATAGTGAAAACATTAGGATTGTACCTGCCTGTCAGATCACCAATTTGTAGGTGCTTTGCAATAAAAACTTTTAACCCTTCAAAGCCTGAGCAAATTGGCCTGATTCCTTTCAAGAACACACAACAAAGGCAATGAGCAGCTTTACAAGCAATGACCCCAAAAATACAAAAAAAATGTAAAAGTTACAGGAAAACTAAAAGGCAAAAAAACAAACAAGGAAAGGACCCTTTTCTGTAATATGATTTAAAAAGTACAATCATAATAATTATAAAAAAAAATTCTGAGCATTTTTCCTTTTTTTTTTTAATAATTTCCCCCCTCTTTTTATTCTTATTCTTGTCACATTTTACTATTTTCTTACAATTTGCAGGACATTTCTTTCCAAGTTCCTCATTGCCTTTTTGCACATTTTCAGAAGAAACTAAACCAGTTCCCTCAGGTTTCAAATATCTAAATGCTTGTGAAAGGTGTCTGAATGCAGCACAAGAAAACTCATGTCCCTCCAGATTTAAAGGGGTTAAGCACAACTCGTATTCACAATCCATTTTGGAATTGCGGTGAACAAGGTAGTCATTGTGGCAATAATATCACAAACATCCAGTGAATGTCAGGAATAAACAGCTTCACAAGGCTGCACACAGTGGGTGTGAACTCCATACAATCAAATACAGTTAACATGTCCTTAACATTTGCTGATATCACCATGTTTTTGTTCTTTTGCTAAGATTTCCATAATTTTTATGATATGTCTACTAACTTTTGTCTATTCCTTTATTCCACTGAACTCCGTGGCATATTTTTTATTTCTGTTTATTAACTTGTTACTCATTTATTTATGTCTACATGTTGATGTATGTTGTGCTATCGTGTGTGTGCAAGGCAAACTGTTCAAACAAATTGCCCCTGGTGGGATTAATAAAGTTGTCTAAATCTGGTCTGCTGTAGTGTAGTTTTATATCTATTTTGTCTTTAAACTTTAAAATCAATTACCAAATAATACAGAATACGTAACATCAATATTAGGGTTGAGGTTGTTTACCTGCAAATGTGACTTAACTGGTTGCAATCTCTAAAGCATATCTGCCTTAAAGATTCAAGCGGTGATGGAAGATTTCAAGTGTCATTTTTTGTATCAGAAAGGTATGCGCCATATCTCTCTCCAACATTCATTTAAACACATTTCATTCTCATCTATCAAGAACTCCACTGCATCTCACATTTTTGCTGTGGCTTTTACTGATACTTGAGTGATGCATGTGAAAACTAAGGATCATTTAAGTAAAAATTAGTTTTAGGGACTAGTGCTGCTTTTTCTAATCCTCTTTACAAACGTTGACAAAAAAACAGACCTGCCAACTCCACATGTGAACATGAAACCTTTTATTTATTGTCATGAAAGCACAGTGCTTGAGATGCAAAGTACAGTATATTAATGCTGTCAGAGAGATGCAAACAGGCAGTGTTTTAAAAAGCTACCTTCTTTTAACCTCTACATGCTGTTAACAAGATTTTAAGCAGTCTTGTTTGAATTGTCATTTGCGCTATGATGATTTAATCTAGACATGAATGTCCACTCCAGTTTTTTCTTTCAAAATAAGCTAAGATTTATTTTTTGTACAGTATAAAGTATCTGGTACAGTCATCTAACACTTAAACTCACTTTCTAAGTGCTTGTAGAAAAGTGCACACCAACATTTGGGCAAACAGTATCTGACCTTTAACACCAAACTTTTTTCAAACCAACGCTAATATCCGATGCAACAACCTCAGACATAAATTTGGTACAGGAAAAATTAAACTGCTCCAAAATTATTTCAAATTTTGTTATAAATCAGACTGACCTTTCTGGATGCAAAAAATGCAAAGACAAATGTCTTGCATTTGCTAGGCAACACTGTCTCTAAAACATTCAGTGTTGTCCTTTTGGGCTCATTGAATGCTTATTTAACAAATCACCTGAAGACTTCACTCAAACTTGATTCCCTGGGCCAGAGGAAGATCTTTGCTGTAGTTTATCGTGCAGGTTGAACGCCTCATGTACTGCTTCCATGAGTCGCTGCCAGACTCTCTTCCACCTCCTGTGTGTTTCTCTCCACCAAAGGCTCCTCCGATCTCAGCTCCGCTTGTAGGAATGTTGACATTCACAATGCCGCAGTCGGATCCTTTGGGCCCAAGCCAGCGGAAAACCCGACCCATATCTTTAGTGAAGATGCTGCTGGACAAGCCCTGCTGGACCTCGTTGTTCCAGGCAAACGCCTCCTCTTCTGACTTGAACTTGAGCACGTACAGTATGGGGACAAAGGTCTCGGTGTGTACAATGGACGCATCGTGAGCCAGCCCTGTGATGATGGTGGGCTCCACGTAGTTTCCAGGACGGTCCATCACCTTTCCTCCGCAGACCACAGTGCCACCCTGCTTCTTGGCCTGCTCAATGGCTGCCAGATACTGATCCACAGCTTGTTTGGTGTGCAGAGGCCCATAAAGGGTAGTGGGATCCCAGGGGTCTCCGATGCGGACTTGTTTGTAGGCCTTGGCGACCCTCTCAACCACTGTGTCATGAACACTGTCATGCAGCATGAGCCTCCTGGTTGTAGTGCAGCGTTGGCCAGCGGTTCCCACAGATGCAAAGACAGCTGAGGGCACCACAAGATTCAAGTCAGCATCCTCAAATACGATGATAGCGTTGTTTCCACCGAGCTCCAGCAGCTTGCGACCGAATCTTTCCTGCACCATCATAGCCACCATCTTGCCAACATGGGTGCTGCCGGTGAATGACAGCAGATCCACCCGCTCATCCTTCGCCATGGCTGTGCCGATATCAGCGCCACCACAGGTCATGGAGCAGATAGCACCAGGCAGGTTGTTATGCTCCAGCACCTCGGCCACGATCCTGGTAACTGCAACACTTGTGAGAGGTGTGGTTGGAGCTCCCTTCCAGAGGCAGACGTTGCCGCAGGTCAGAGCGATGGCATTGTTCCAGCCGTAGACAGCCACAGGGAAGTTAAAGGCAGTGATGATGCCAACAAGTCCAACTGGGTTCCACTGTTCGATCAGGGCATGGCCTGGTCTCTCTGAAGGCAGCATGGGCCCGCCAATCATTCTAGACAGACCAACTGCGTAATCACAGACATCAACATACTCCTGAACCTCTCCCACTCCCTCAACATAGATCTTGCCCATTTCTAAAGACACCAGGCTCCCGAGAACATTAATCTTCTTTCTAAGTGCATCTCCAATCTGCCTCACAATCTCCCCTCTTTTGGGTGCAGGAATATCTGCCCACATCTTCCAAGCCTCCCTAGCCTTCTGGACAGTTTCTTCATACTCCGCCATGGTTGCCTGGGTTACCCTGGCAATTGGCTGATTGTTGGCGGGACAGTATGACGTGACGACCTCCCCGCTCCCTCCCCAGCTCCCGTTGTAAACACCTGGGTTGTCCTCAGACAGGCCCAGCTCTTTGAGCCAGGAGTATTTGGGTTGGTTGATAAGGAGACTTGACATGGCTGCTGATTGCCGGCAGTGGATGGGTGCAAATTTATTTCTCAAGAGAAGCCTGCTGTGCCGGGCGAAGGTCAGGGTGAGGCAACGCTGCATGGGTGCTGGAAGCAAACCAAGTTAAAAATTATTTTACTAGTTTAAGAAGGTTAGTAGAACATTTATAAATGATTGCAGACGATCTCACAACATTATTCAGATTTATTTTACAATGATATAAAACCAAAAAAGGCAGCGTATTCTTAGATTTGAAAAGCCTGAATCAAAGAATGTTCCTTGATCAATACCTTGATTGCTTGATAATCAAAATGATATTTTATGAATTTTGTGTCAACAAACAAATCAGTTACTTGTCTGTCAGGTCCAGTTCAGTCAACTGCTGTCTCCAAGATCAAGAGTTAACGTTTAATTTCGATAATAATGAATGACTTCAAAAAGTTGCACAAGCTGTGTTACAGTCCAACGCAGCATACAGTGAACACGAGCCACAGGGAATGCAGAAAGTCAACAGGTGTTGGCCAGAGAATGCTTGTTTAAAAATAGGAGTGTTTTTAACAGCTTCTTCTCCTTGAATAAATAGTAACAACTCATTGTTTCCCTCTAAAACTGTGAATTGTCTGTGGTTTTCTTAGTCATCTGTGATATTAAACTGAATCGTTTTGGGTTTTGTTACACAAAACAATCCATTTGAGGAGGTCACCTTGAACTCTATGCCTTATCCTCTGATATTTCATAGACTAATTGTAAAAATGCAGGATATTCTCATACAAAACGTAACATCAAAAATATCTACAGCATAATGCCAATACAACAGAAGCCACAGATATGTAATATGCATTAGGACTGTGACTATTTATAACTAAGAATGTTGGAGTTGAATGAGTTTCATTTAAAAAAAAAAAATCTACCTGTTACATACTCTTACCTTTTCTCAGACCTAAACTATATGGTCAGCAATTTGTTCAACCTATGCGCTTGCGCAATTAAATCCAACTTTGGAAAACCACGAGGCTGTAGAGACTTCAACTTATTCATGATATATAAATAATACAGCGTACACCCACAGCATCTCTAATGAAAACCAAAATAGTAATTTCTGATTTGCATTGTTTAAATACACAAATAGTACACATCAGTTTGTTAGCGTTGCTACTTTTGCAGCATGCAGTGACATGGTCGACGAGATCAGCGTCTTTCTTGTTGAGTCTAAACGACCGTGACTCAAGGTCCTGCAGTTAACAAAAAATCACGGTGCTGTTATAAAACCTGCTCTTACACTCTGTGCATGTCACTTTATACTGATTAAAAGTAAGTTTATACTACTTAACTATCAGTTTTTCACTCACGTTGATATAAAGTGCGGTGGGCCACGTCCACTCCAGAGCATGGAAGTACTTGATGTTTCCGTCAGAGCTGAAACGGAAGTACTGCTACAGTGCTGCGTTCTGATTGGACAGCGGCCGTGACGCAGTGTGGCGCCTGCTTTGTTAGATTGATCCATGCTAGCAAATTCCCTTTGTTGTGATTAACCGTTTAGCGGTTCTCGTTCTGCTGTAATAACTTATATTAAGAAAGTTGTCGTTGTGATAATCTAAAGGATGAGTGGCGGAGTGTACGGAGGCGGTGAGTGAGCTCTTGTGATCAAAATTTTTCTAAACTGTTGTCCACGTTGTTCCGTTTTCTAGCTTTAGCCAGCTTTATAGCTAGCAAGCTATGCTAGCTGTGCTAACTTAGCGTTTAGCTCCGCGGTAGACTGAAGCTGCTGTATTGCTAACATATTTAGTCGGCACGAGTTTAAGAGTGAATTAATTTTATTTTTTCCAGTGCGTCATCTTGTGGTTTAAGTTTAACTTAGTGTGTTCATGTAGCAACAATGTAACACCGGCACTGCGTAGCTAGCTGGCGAGGAAATGAATGAAAGTGGGCTTGCCATGAACACCTCAAGTTCCGTTTGTGCGACGTTAAATATGGCTCTCTGAGAAATGAAGATACACGTCTCCACACTGACTGTGATTAAAGATTGAACCGTGTAAGGTTATTCGGCATTAAATTTGCTACGTTTTTGCTCTTCTGTTGACATTCACTTAGGCGAGAACTTTACATATGTGTCTCTGAACTGAAGTAGTTTCTTAATTAATTGTATCTCCTGCTCTTAATACTGCAATTAATTATGCAGTTCATTCTGTTGGCAATCTTAATGATAACTATACCCCAGAATTAATAATCTACATAAATGATTGTCAGTTGTATCAACAGGATCACTGTGCAAACTATAAGTTGCTTTACTGTAATATCATAACATTGTAACATGCTTAGTTTGTGTTACTGAAACAGATAGACATACACACTATATTTTAACATAGCTGATGTATATTGTACAAAGGGCATGTCTCAAGTATCAGCTGAGAAGCCTGTTATACTTAAATTTATAGCTTTTCTTATACTATACTACTGTATTACTACACTACTACACCACCATATATCATAATATACCACATTTAACCATATTATGTTAATATATTTCATTGACTCTTGCGCTATATTCTATTATTTGAAAACCGTCAAACAATGAGTACCATTTCATATATTAGCCAAGTGTACACAGTTTACATAGACTTGTTGACTCTGCTTTTATTAATCACACTGTTATTTTATCAGCATCACAGTCACCATACCTCATCAATGCTCTTGCATAGTTTAAAATTTTATTCTATTCATATTTTAGTTTACAAACCCCTTATTGTTCGTTACTTTATATATTTCTCTTTATTTATTTTTGTCCTTTGCTGCCACAACTAAATTTCCCTGCTTATCTCATCTTACTTTAGCTTTGATATCTGTGCCAATACTGAGCAATATGTTGGCATGTTAACTTTATAAATTCATAACTAAAATCATAATCGATTAACTTTGTTTGTGAGCTACTTTGTCAGCTACTCTACTAATTTGACTAATTATTTCAGCACTGCAAGGTATTATTAGTTTTCTTATTCAAATACATTTATGGGTGAAACTGTGATATCAACCAATAATTGATGAGTACAGGAATGTGAAAAACAGGTTAGACCTTACAGATGAGTCTTTTTTGTGATACTTTACTTTGTTGTTACAAAAAGGGCGTGAACATTTTTTCCTGTTCCTAGCTTGTCATTTATGAGAAGTGGTGCACTCTTAGGGCACCTTCACAGAATGGAGATTTTATCGGAGGTGTTGATTTTTGTGTGATTGTGTGGTAGAATGTAGTGTTGAGGAACTTCTCTCTATGTACGCAACTCAAAGAAGAATATATTGCAAATTTAAACAGCTATTTGTCATTGCAGATACCTAACTTAAACACACATAAGCATATTAAAGCAAGCACACTAAATGCAAATATAAATTAAAAGTGGCTGATATCAGTAGTTTGGTCACATATTGTATATTCATTGTGAAAATTATTATTTAATTTGCATTCTCAATGATCTCTCATCTTTGCAGATGAGGTGGGAGCGTTGGTGTTCGACATTGGCTCATACACAGTAAGAGCTGGCTACGCAGGAGAAGACTGTCCCAAGGTAAGTGGATCACTCAAATGACCTGATTAACTATGTGTCTTTTCTTCCTCTGTGCATCTTCATCTGCCCTCCGGGGGTTCGCCAATGTCAAGAAATGAGGGCTGTCACTCTGGAGACAGATGGCATAAATTGAGTTCAGATCGTTCTGGATCCTTGCTTAGTTTTGATTTATCTGTGCTTTAGGTGGAGATCTTGATTGTGCAAATATCAGTTTGACAAGAGAAATGTCAGAGATGAGCACTGATGGTCAGTCATACTCTCATTAGTCTGTGAAATCACTTTAATATCGACCTTGGGTACATAACACAGTATTATATGCTCTGGTCTCATCCGTAGTGAGAATCACTTCTTTTTTTATACTATGTGCCATATCATGCTTAATGTCGCCACATGCCACCACTCCACCTCCACTTTCCTGTTTTCAAATATAATATGTTGTCCATGTGCATCATCTTTGTGTGCCAACACAAATGAGACCTAATTACTGTGTGAGGTTACACTTGTGGTGACAGATCACGGGTTCATTGAAGGATCATGAAATCATGTTTTAATAGTATTGGTTCTGATCATGATTGGTACTTATGATTATTTTTAAAGGGAAAGTATGCCCAATTTTAAAATTGATACATGTTATTCCTATGGTCTAGGACAGTCCAAAAATATTAGCAGACATTAACAACATTGTAAGTCATAAGTCTGGAGCTGCTCCATAGACAATGAATTGGGAAAGATGTTAAAGATGACACTGAGAGCAACCAGGGGAATGTTCTGAGTATGTGGGTACATTAACATCTACAACAGAAAAAAGCTCATTTGGGCATAAAAAAGACAACAGTCATTCTCTGGGTCCACAGAATCAGTCTCCCATTCATTGTCTGTGGAGCAGCTCCAGACTTTATACCCTATGACATCACAATTTTGAGGCTTACATCTCTGGTTTCTGGCTTTGAGGGGGAGTAGCTCATGTTCACAAATATTGATTGAACTTGGCCATGTAAATAACAAATTGGAATTATTTATTAAGGTGGTGCTCCACCTTTAAAAAGATTAATCTTACTTTTTTTGGATTAATTGATATTCAGACAAAATATTGCAAAAGTCTTTCAGAGGTTCCCGGAGCACAAACTGACATATTTAAATGTCTTGTTTTGTCAAGCTGTACTTTTTTTCAAAGATATACTTTGCAAGATTTTCCTAAAAAAATAAAATGTATGGAGTCATACAGAAGTAATCCCTCTCAGTCACCACTCATGATGACCCACCAAAAGTGTGTGTGGCCGTTTATTTTTCTGCAGTGACTCTGCCCTCTGTCTGTACCTATTTTCTATGTTTGGGACATTTATGGGCGTGTACCTCCATAGCGCTTTGGTGAGGTTGGGGTTTTACCAAAAGGTAGTGACCAGGAGCCAGACCATAAGCAGTAGGCATCCAAGCGATACAGCGCTGACAAAAAGCAAAAATAGCAAGGTGAAACATCAAACTAGAGTGAATCTGAGGTTGGCTTTTACTTTAATTTCCACTGGTGTGCATGTTTAGAGTGCTCAATAGTCCTGCATAGTGTATCTTAAAGGTAACATCTGTAACGATGAAGAAAGGTTAAAAAGGTCAATTAATTTTCTGCTGATAGTTAAGTTGTTGCAGCTCTAAATGTAACACCTGAGCTTTTCCTACTGTGGCAAGTCAAATTTCCTGACGTTAAAAAGCTTATGGGATGATTTAAGTCAGACATTGTTTATGCAAGATGAATTAGTCAGTCCAAGCCAAAGCATTACAGAAGGTACTTTTGAGAATTTCAAAACAGTTGTACTCCTAGTCTTCATAAGTCAGAGGAGCATTGCCTCACCCTCAGTTTCACAAAAACGGGAACTTTATGTGTGGGAAGTTCAGTGTTTGGGATGAGGGAGATCTTTTGCTACAGGTGTCATTGAATTTGTGCTCCTGTGCTAGATATTGGTAAACCAGGGTGTGTGAGAATCTGTCTTGACTTGCATTGTGTCCTGTTTTGTTTTGTTTTGGCTTGGCTCAGGCGGACTTCCCCACGGTGATAGGTGTGACCCTTGACCGAGAGGATGGCAGCACGCCTATGGAGACGGATGGCGACAAGAACAAGCAGAGCGGCACCACCTACTATATCGATACCAACCAGCTGAGGGTACCCAGGGAGAGCATGGAGGTCATGTCTCCGCTCAAGAATGGCATGAGTGAGTGCTGACTACTTTTTTTTTCACGCATTAAAATCCAATGAACGTTTTGGTTTCTAACTGCTGTGTTGTTGGGTTTGTGACCAACCAGGCTGTTTCAACATTTTCTGCTGTGTCTGTGCAGTGCTGAGAAATGACAGCATTTACAGCCCATATGAACGCACATGGATTGTGTATAAGTGCATGACCCTGTTTTTTAGTCATGGTCTGTGACGTAAACTCAACAATGAATATTTATAATCCCGTCTGCTCGATCCATATCCATAATTAGACTTCTTTGGTCTGACAGCCGACTTTGTAGATGAACTCATCACAACCCTGACTGACGTATAGATGATGTGCTGTTCATCATGAATATTAATGAGATTATTTGAAGACCAAGGCAACTCATTATCATGAGCCCTCCCGTCTGGGGTCCTCTTGGTGAAAGGCAGACCCCTCTCCGTCTTACCATCATGTCTGCCTGACTGTGATCGTATTTTCCTATCCTTGTTTGCTCTCATTTAAATGTGGATTTGTCAGATAATTAAAGCCAGATATGGGTTACATGTCCAGAGCTGAACTGGAGCTGTTATCCTATAATAAAATCACTGTTGGATCTTTGATTATTTTCCCATGCTTTGGTTTGAGGCTCAGTTTCAGTCTCTTTTTCCTCTTTTTA